CCCCAAAACCCCAAAACCCCAAAACCCCAAAACCCCAGTGGGGTTGGGGTAGATTGAATCTGTTTCAAGTTTGAGAAGGATGTTATGTGATCAGTATTAGTTGGTGGGGATTATTTGGTTTTGGGTTTATATATTATTTGTAATTTTTCGAGATTTAGCTCTTTGATCCATGATTCCATGTCTTGTAGGTTTAACTTGAGAGGATATAGATCAAGCTTTTTAAGGGTATTCTTCAGTCTTGAGGAAGAAATAGCTTTCAGTAAATGGTAAATATGTTCAGGATGATTTTGCCAATTACTATGTTTCACCAATGCTCAACCAATAAACGATAAAAATGTCAATTCAGCTATAAATCCAGTGCTAAATTTTAAGTCCTTCATCTCTAGCTTTCAATTGCCAAAAGTAACTCTCAAACATTTAGTCGAATTGGATATAATTCTTTGCAACTGTTTCTTAGAAATTTCTAAACTATATAGGAAAACAATCTGAGTATTTTTGTTAAGGATACTTCATAACGGTGGCAAAGCCTTATTCGGAAGCACCCATTTCTCCCTGGAACCTTCTATTTGAAGACGTTCAACTGAGTTTTGGTGGACGTACTAGAAATTAGACTTGGGGTTTTAGGGAGGGCTGTTTACTTTGAGTATGAGGGTCATTTTGGAGTTGCAATAGGATGCAGGGTGCAATTCTATTTGGTGACGACCGATTTTACCTTTGGTGTCTGCGATGATGAGTTTTTGAATTTTTGTGTTTATGTTTTTGAGAGATGATACTTTTTGGAGATAAACTTCTAAAGGATTCTTTGTGGTTAAAATTCTGTGGTGGCTGATAGGATCTGCGATTCTAAGAGTTATTAGAGAGACTACCTCAAATCTGGAGAGTTTTCTGATTTTATGATATGTTCTATAATAAGTTAGGTTATTGGATTTGGTTTTTGACGAGAGTTTAGGTTATTGATACAGAATACAAAGAAAAAGGAAATGAGATGGAAAAAGTAAGTTTACCATGAGTAGATTCTTGGAGTATATTGTTTATTTTTCCCTCTATTTGGCTTATTTCTTCTTGTTTTGCCATGTCCGATTCCATTTCTACAATACTTAATTTTTGTTAAAATCTATAAAAAAATAATATAAACTAAAACTTACATTCAACAAAATAAAAACTCAAAGGGGTTTTGGGGTTTTGGGGTTTTGGGGTTTTGGGGTTTTGGGG